AAAAGAACTCCCGTGGATCACATTTTATTATTCTTATCAATTGACCGCAATTCTACGGCTATTATACACACGAGCTCGTGCACCTCTCTCATTCATTTTACATGGGAAACGAACTGCAGCATCGCTCCGTGTGTTTAATTACACTAACCGATGTACTACGCACGACGACTCCGGCGAGGTCTTTTTCCGTTTTGTTATTTTCATCGAGCAGAAACTGGGTCAAGTAAATACTAATTAATAAACTGTACGCTAAATAATAATTTACATCGAATAAAGTTACATGGTAAAGATATTCGCAGAATTATGATACTTTGACATAATTAAGCTGAGGGCAGTTTTTCGTTAAACTCTTAAAGTTAAAATACTATTACGCAGCATTTTTCATTAGTGAACGAATTTCGCGAATCATATGTATGTCATCCCAAATTATAGGAACATGTTTTAGGGCAAGGGCGATTTTTAACAGATCTTCAGGTGTTAGTCGATATCATATAATTAATATAATAATTGTCTTCATAGACTCATTACGGTAAATTTTAACAGAAAAACGCGCTTTGATAGTAATAAATTATTAACAAATGTTTAAAAACAGCCAAATTGAGGCCAGCGGCTAAAACAAGTTATGGTACGCCAAAAAACACTCAACACTCCAAACGTCGTATAACATGAGTATACTAAAATAATAATAAAAGAATGGGTTATATGCGGAAATCTCATAAACTTGACAGATTTAATTATTCTACATTGATTGAGATTTGTGATAGACGTCTGTTTTAGTTTTCAGAGATTAAGAACGCATGTTCTGCGAGAAGTAAATCAATATCATGCGAATAATAAAAGTGATCATGACCTCATATCTGATAATATAATATTAACTAGGAAATATATGACTGAAAATGACACATGAATATTCTTTACTAATTTTTTTCCTAGGCATTTGAATGAATCTTAATTAACTAGTCAAAATTTACCGTTATCGATTACTCGGATAGCAACAAATTAATAAACGAAAAAAAAAACGGTACTAAACGAATTAAAAGGAAAAAAAAATTTTTTTTTAAATCATATTTCGAGTACAAAGCGGTCAGTAGAATATATAGCTAATAGTTAGGGTCAAGTTCTAGTCCACTTGATGATCCGAAACGTGCGAAGAAAAAATATGGCGAAATCAAACCGAATATCATTTGATAATAATTCTACCCACTTCCTAATGACGTTCATTAAACTATTTTCAACAGTTTAAACAGTCACTTAAGAAGTGCCGACAAACTGTATTAGTGATACGATGAACTATTCATTTTCGACCAAGTCAACGCACCACATTAGATTAATGTCTTAATACACAATATATGATCTGATTTTTTATATATCATGAAAATAAATGCGAGGATCAACGACGGCCGACTTTAGATAGGCAGTAAATAACCGTGTAATTTAATTACATATCTTTCATCGATTTCTGGAACAACAATTAAACTTAAATACACACATATCACAATTCATAAAGAGTGACGATACACACAAATCAATAGTTCAGGAAAACTTGACGATAAATTTTAAGTAAAATGAACAAATACGATTAATTAAAAACAAATTTTATTATTATTTTTTTTTGATGGTCATGCAGTAAATATGACAGTTTGACGTTGATTTTAATAATGAATGTTTGTTCGGTAATCTAAACACGAATCGGATGGACCCACAGGAAGTCGGAGGCTCGGCTTCAGTTCAACCATTTGATTAAAGCTAATCACGATTGAGTATTGTTTCTTTGACCACTAAACTGTGCCGGCGGAAATCAAATTCGTAAAATAAAAGGAATGATTTATATTTACTTACATGGTGAACATACACAACAATTGTTTGACTATTTATAAGTTTAAGGGAAAGTGAAGTTTGCCGTTTATATGGTAAATTATATCTATAATATTGTCCCACGCAAACCCACGTTAAACAAGACATGGGTGTTTAAAAAACTAGTGTTTAACTGATTTATATTTTATCGGTTTTTCATTTAAATTAATCAACTTCCATCTATTAGTCCATTAGGCGGAAACGACCATTTAAGCTGATTAATACGTTCGTACTAAACAGTACTTGTTACTTTACAGGTGTTGATTCTTTTAATAAATGATTTAAATCCTACGCATCGCCTTAAGTTTTAAATCGTTTTAATTATATTGAAATGTAAGTCGACTTATTTGCGCGAAAACCATTTGGGGTATCATTTGAATAGTCGAAATTACTTTAAACGTGTTACTGTCGCCTACCTTATATGGAAATGAGGCATCGATATTAACAATTTACAAATCAAACGGTTTCTATAAATAAAAATTTATACTTTGTATTTATACTTATATTTGCAGGCAATCTCACTTGTTTTTATTAGATTCACATAAATTATGTGAATGCGATTGATGAAAATTATTGTTTTACATATTTGCTTAACTTGTTGGCTGTTTATAATACGAGCAAATGGGAATATTTACAAATTTGAAATTAAAAATGATATTTTTTTTAATTATAAAAAAATAACACCGACATATTTTAATTAATCTTAAAGTTGCAAAACTAGTTAACAAGCAGTACATTTACTTTTTATGTTAATTATTATAATTGATTTTCGAATGTATCAGAAAATTCACGCGAACTATTATCTCCAAATAAACATCTAGGATATAATTATCTCCTAACAATATTTCGATTAAAAGTGATATCCTACTAAACATTTTTAAGAAATTTAGTCTTTTTAAAACCGATCAGCTCTCTGTCGAGGAATCGCACGATAATGTTTAAAATAAAAATGTTCGCCGCGTTACTCTAAACCGGCTCAACCAGAGACAGTGATAAAGGTGTGGTGGTACACTTTACTGTTAGGGAGTGTAAGCGTGTAGTTTTCGTTTATTCGGTCACACGACAAACGGGTTATAAGCGATTATATATGTTATTTTAATAAAAATGCAAAATAAATTGTAAAAAAACAGGATTTTTCAGGGTAAGTTGGCACACTAAATCTACACACAACGTCCACCTGAAAACAGTCTACTTGTGGCTGTGTGGTTACGGCAATTAATTTTCTAGCACTTTCCGCACAAGAGATTTGGGTTATAAATACACTACAATGTGTTGTTTACATTAAGATATTTAATAAAAGTGTATGGTTATAACGCATCTCTTTTGATGTTCTTTTTAATTTTTTTTACACACCAAATTAGCGTTATTATTAATCAGATCGTGAAACCAACCGAAAGAGGACGATGACCGAGTATAGTTGCGGTTTTTTATACATTTTTTGGAAGACGTGCACGATGTACGGAAAAAGTGCCGCATTGTTTTGAGTATTGAAAGGACGAAACACGTCTTCAGGTAATTCCCTACTTACGCCGGTGACACGTCCGCGTCCAATAGAAATTCGGACTAACACGCGGCATACGTACGTATTATTAATATTGTATGAAAACTGTTATTATCATACGACAGCGTTGCGCGACACGGCTGCGATCGGGCAAGTCTCCCGGAGAAAGAAGCACGTGGACGGCCCTATTGTTCGAGCGAACGCACAACAATAATAATAATAATAATAATAACAGTTAGAGGACTCGAGTTGACGACATGATTACGAGATTGATGCGACGAAACCGGGACCGGAGACTTTGGGTCAGAGAGGCCTTACTTGATATTCCAAGCCCAAGTTAGCACGCACACGCCGAATTGTTATATGCTGAGCGTGTGTGTTCGCACATATATTATCGATGGAAACCAAAACGGATGCTATACTTAGTTGTCCACAAAAGAAAATGTCAAGGAAACCGTAGCGGAATATCGTTATCTCAACAAAATGTGTCAAACCTATTTGACCATCAACAAAATTACACTGCCGTCGTCGTGATAAACCATTAATTTTCCACAAATATGTGTACACTGTTGCATGAACACTTTTCATCGTGTAATTTATAGCCAAGACGGAAAGTGGCTTACACGGTCGTGTATTCGGAGATTTCCCCGACTGCGTTATTACAGAAACCTGGTAGACGGTATAAACGAACTCTTGTGGTTTCAGAACGACCGCAAGGGCATGTCTGAAGCCATACTTTTGTTTTTGCGGTCCAATTGATAATGTCATTATTAAAATCGATGAGACGAAGAGCGGTTTGACAGAGAAATTGAGACATTCACGTTTAGTGAAATTACACGTATTATACTCGAACGATTTTAAAAAATACGCAAACAAATGAACTATTTATCAGAAGCATGACTTTTAAAGGGAATGAATTACTTAAGCGTGAATCAAAGGCTAAATAAAATTGGCTAAGGAGAGACATCATGATCATTAATGAATAATAACGGAATTTTAAACGGAACGTAAATAATCAAAATATCGTGATGGTCTTCGAAACTATTAATGCACGTAAGTACTATTATAGATATAACATATTTTGATGCAATTGAATGCATCGAATGAACGACTAATTTGACTAAGGCCGCGAAAAAAAAACATTACTTTCCATCCTTCGAAACCAGTAGTTGGTTAATTGCACCGGACATTTGTAAAGCCGCACAGAAAATTATCAGACCGGCAATACAGGGCATCGTGATCGTGTCCAATGCCTTGTTTGGACCGATTTGGATCGCAACTGATCTCGGAAATGATTTTCGAATTGATTGAATTACGCTTGCTAGATAGGTACGCACAGTACACACGCACATAATATTATGCACTTGGAGATCGACTAGGCAACCAGTTTAACCAGCACACGACTTCTACCAATCGGCGAACCGTTACACAATTGCCTACACACGCGTCTAAAAAAGATTTGAGGATAACATACGCGCACGCAAATTTTACTATATTGTCAGTTGTTGAATGGTGTAGCGCCATCCGCCGGAAGTGAAGTTTTCGGATACCTATGCAACTTTTTTTTTATTATATGTAGTTTGCATAATGAACACACACACTCTACATTAATAGCGTTGCTATTCATTTCTACACTCCAATTTACCTTTAACAGTTCCATTCAAGGCGCCGGATGTGGTGTTTGGACCCGGGAACGTCGAGTTACGCTTGTGCTTTGCCACGCCGTTAGTTGATGGAGTAATCTGTAAATACAATATATATAAATATATTAAAATAACACTGTCATTTTTAATAAAAATTAGTAAATTTTAAAATATGAACATTTTCATATTATTATGGGATAAAATAAACATCATTAATAGAAAAATGATTAATTATTACGTTTTTGGTGGTAAGGTACAATTGATATGTGACCTCGAGCAATGGTACAACTAGAGGAGATTAATTACCAACATTTTAAAAACTACTTTTATTGCTAAATATAAAAAAAAAATGTCGGAAGAAAAATGTATTTAACTAAAATTTTATTTTAATTGTGTTTATGGCCTCGACTGAAAATTGTATGATTATTCCTAAAATATCTGAATTGATATTGAATATCAATATGACTCCAGTATAATGTCAAAACATTTCTTAAGTGTTGGATAAAATTTGAATACATACTTTTTGTTTTGTTTGATTAGGAATTACATACGTGTAAACATTATATGGTGTTAGCGAGACAAAAAGCAATAGTGGTAAGACTCGAGCCAATAATAACTTACTGCAATCATTGCTACCTACGTAGACGAAGGTAATGAGATGAGAGAGCCGGCTTCTGATGAGAGCCAGAAGTATCATCAACTATGTTAATTATAGGTTATTTCTAAGTAGAAATATTAGAAAAACCCAGCTCGTGCGTGTTCAAATAACAGCAGCAAATTCGTTGCTTATCAGAACTAAACATTTGTAACAAGACAAAAGCCCCCAACCAATTATTATAGAAAATGTGACTCATTTTGAACAATGTTTAAAAGAATTATTTTACTATAGGCCTGTTTCCCTTAAGCACTTTAAGATATAAAGAGCAACTTCGTGGTATATAGAATGATTAAGACACCTTAGTAGTTCATAAGGGTTTATTAAGTACTGAACATTATTAACCTCAAGTTGAAAATTTACTAAGAAAATTAGTTTGAATTCTTACAGTGTAGGATATTAATATTAGATCAATAAGACGTTGTTTAAACTAAATTGGTGAGAGTAGACAAATTACTATCAACACGAAAGAAAAACTACAATACAACAATTTTTTTTTTTTGTATATCCTTCCGGAAATCATGCATGCCATACAATAATAAACACTGAACAAAACTGTTTTTATTTCCAGGCAAATATTATCTCGTGAAAAATGGGAACTGTCATCGTGAATTATACATAGGTTTTGCGGTGCAATGTGTAACAACAAAATATAAGCATGTCCCAGCCATATTCTCCACATCCCTACTTTTTCCCATCATCCCATAATAAATCATAACCACACGTCACCAAATTAAACATAAATTTGGTTATAATTAACATGTGATAGAGCTCTAGCGACGTTCTTTCGTCCTTGGGTCTCAAATAGCTCAACACTTAAGATACATTAGTCATTTTTACCGTCTCTACTCTCCTGCTTACGTACGCCCGCGACTACACGTCAGAATGGCCACCGTGTTTTATACTGTAGCCGCGTGGTCTGTTGCCAGTCTCTTAAATACTTGTTACGGGTCGCCCAAGGCGAATTCCGACACCGTAATTGGCCAATCGTGATCGAGTTTGCTGCTTAATGCATCCCGTGGTGGGTTCCCCTTGTGTGTGCCTTCCTCACGTCAAACGCTTATATAAACATCTTTTGGAAAATCACAGTTGAAGAATTTTCCCTCAAGTCTTTATGGTTCATAAAATTATTAGACAAACGTATAATTTCGTCTATTTGGTTACTTTACTCTTCAGTGGACGGAGTAAGGAGATTAAATAAATACTCGAATGAGAAGACTCAAATTAAATTAACAACCGGTCAAGGCTCATTAAAATACGCCTGTGCAGTCTTAATTAACACACACACACAATAGTCAGAAAGGACTGATAAAAAAATCTGACTGTAAAATATCACGTGCCAGATGTTCCAAGACAATGAACATCAATATAGTTTCAATGCAAAACAACCAGTCAAACTAATAACTACGTACACGAGTACTGAATTACAAACGAACTGTACATATTTAGATTAATTTTGTTTTTTGCCGGTTTCAAACAATTTATTATTTTTACTCGATAGATGGCGATATTGGTGTTCGCAAAAAAAAAAAAAAGCCTGGTGCGAGTAAATAAAAAGCAAATGGACAAATCTGACTGTCGATAACTCATCTATGTCCAAGTAACAGCTATGCTTTTTGAATATATAATTCACAAACATAAATAGTTTCCATAACGCATTACAATGAAGTCGAATAGAATGCTCTAATATTGCCAACGGCGAACTAGATCATCACAAGTGTGGCGTTTATGTATCTAAAACGGACCGAAACGAATGTGGGCAAAGAGTTGTGTTGAAAGCAGATGAATCGTAGAATTTCGCTGACACACGATACAGCAAAACAGACATGTGAACATAGACAGGCATCAGCACACATCATGATCGTCTGAGAATAGTATCGCAATAAAAGTAATAATACAGATCGAGCTATCGGTTGTGATTAGATTGGAAACGAAAACCGGTTCGTCCTGAGACCTGTCCCCACTACTTCGTCATTTTTTTTTCAATACAAAACAAAAATATAATAATTATATATTTTACGTGGACCCTAAGAATAATAATAAGTCATCACGACCGGCGTTACTAAATAACAGGCAACAATTTTTGAACTACAAGTTACGTTTGAACTCAAAACAACGACGTAATGACAGACCGCCGAGTAGGTTAACGAAAGTCATTTTTTTTTTTGTTTTAAACACAGCTGAAAGGACACGACTATGAACGCTCAGACTTAAAAAAAAAAGAACACACGCGTCGTAGATATCAGACAAAAGATGTATTTCATTTGTTGTTAAAAGACAATGAGACGACTGGCATAGGACTTTTATTGATCAACTATAACGTTTAACTGACGAATAGCAATTACAACTCAACGTACTGTACACATAAGAGTATTCGGTTGAACTATCGGACAAATACGGTACAACATCCGAGAAAAGATAATTTCATTGAATCTCACAGTTAGAGTTTTTAAAGGTCAATTTACTATTCTCGATAATTCATCGTAGTAAAATCGATTAACCCGCTTAAACGTTTGGAAACACTTTAAATTTTATTCATTTAGAAATCATACAACTCCTCAATGACAGTTAATTAAAAAACATATACACCGTTTTTGTGTAATGACTTTACAGAGAAAGAGTTCATATGATTTTTGAGCTAACTTTTGAAATTTTCATGAAATCTATTGAGATTATTTTTTTTTTTGACTTTAACCGTGTAATTGTACAAATCTTTCTTACTTGTGTAGAATGACGCATGTATGAGGTAAGTACGTCTTTCCACCCTTTGGCCTCTTCTCTACATGCTCCCCGAACAAAGTGTACACTGGTATCTGCGGAAGTGATGGCCAAACTGTGAGGATTACCGGTAGCTTCATCTGCTTCTTCCACAGCGATTGCCGTGAACATATCCAAACGAGCTTGAGGTACTGTGTCGGGCTGGAAAAAAAAGAAGAAATTAGTAATATTTCTTCTTAAAAACACCATACTTAAATTATACTTTTTAGTTGAAATGGTTTTATAATGATTGATGAGGGGGAAAAGGTATATGAAACAAGTAGGAAGCAGTTCGAGGACATGATACTGTAGATGTTCTGCCAAGAATCGATTTAATTTTTCACAATAGATGACAGAACTGCGTAAGCTTAATAACGCCATTGTGATCGCGAGAGTTAAAAAAATGGATATTTTGACGAACAAAACACAACAGAAAGTATTATGTGCGCCAGTCCGAAGAATACTAAAGAACTCATATAATTATTTTAAAATTTGATGGACGTACGATACGATATTTTCCTGCTCTGGAAAATAGAATGAAGTCGCAATTTGTTTGTAAACATCTAAAGTCTTCCGAATCGTTGTTTTTCTACTTCCGTGGCAAGGTGACCAAAAAAATGTTCAACGAAGTACCAAACAAAGAATAAGTTGTTTTCATTATACACAATACCAGTGAACAGAGTCATGTACACGGTTGACGGTCGTCAGCCGTATTATAGTTTGGTTAAATAATAAAAAAATATTGTCTACGTTCGTCGTGAAATAAGTTCATTGGTTACAGTATGTGAAAAACGTATTTTTTTTTTCACAAAAAAATAATATGCTAGACGACAACGGTTTTGAGAGTAAAATCAATGGGGGCGCCGTCGTTAAATCTAAGGGATACAATGATTTTTATGATTTTAATATGAATTTTTCATATGGAACAGTTGGCCAAGTACGTTGTCGTAATAATGCGTAGTAAATTATTTGCTCGTAAACGTCACATGCAATGAAAATCTTAAATAAAAGCAAATAACAAGTGGCTATGTTAAAATTTGTATTTATCGATAAGTTACAGTCAATTTTATCCGAACAACGTGTTCTTAAAATCATATTATACTTTCAAAGGGGTTTCTGTGTCGTACAACGTTTGAAAAAAAACGTAATGCTACCAGTACAGCCAAACCAATTTTACATTATTTATTTTACACTCAACGATGTAATACGAAGTATAAAAATAAATAACCAAGTCAACATAATATTGTAGACAGGAACTGTTTAAATAATAAAATACATCGAACTTTGAGTTAAAACTACAATTGTAAAAAAATACTTATATCTGTTTTACGTTTCATTTTTTTAAACAATGTTTTAATTATGTTCATATTACACCAAATATTCATATGAGAAAATTCACATAACACATCGGAGGCACATTACCTTGGTGCACGTCCGGATATCCGTTCTGAATACATTTCAGACCCAAAACTATGTATAAATGGAACTATAAAAAATTATGAACTTTGCGCGTAATTATTATAAAACGTTGAAAACAAATTAAAAATTTTGTTTGACAACATAAATTAACTGTCATTAAAAGGAAACAAATAACAATAGGTAAAATTAATAATAATAGTAATAGAAATGACATTAATTATAAAAAAATAAGTATAGAGATTTGACGGTATTGCGCAGAAATGTAACTATAACATAAAAATTTTGTATGTGTTTTTTCATAACAATGTCGTATTTGATCAACAATTTTAGAAAAGGGTATTATATCTAATTCTTCCTACTTAAAATCATTTTTGTGTAATAATACATATAATTTTATTGAAATTTTGGAGGGACTAAGAATGGCTACAGACACAAGAGTGGGTAGGTTGGATGTCTTTTAATTTTTATATATCGTACTATTTCTTTAGCACATCGGCGTCACTGATTGAAACAATAATATTAGTATCGTAGTACTCAATCCTGTAATAGAAATAAGATTAATAGAGTACACATTGACTATTGACAACATAAATAATCAAAAAGAAAGGCAGGAATGTTCAACTTCTTAAATCAAAATATTTTATAAGTAAACTAAATTTTTGAATGATCCAAAAACAAAATAAAAAAACCCAGCACAGGGGGGTCGTGGCACAGTGGTGACGTGACATAGATGGATCAAGTATAATGATATCTGACAGTGATTAAAATCACTATAAAAAAAAAACGCTTCGATGCAAATCTTTAGATAGTGTTTAATTTTAAAACATTGGTGGATTATTCCAAAAGTTACATGATAGGCTATTTCCTTATTTATATCCTGAATGAAAAAGGGATTATAAAAAAATATTATTTCTCATAAAAAAATTGTTTTGATCCATACACTTTTCAATAAAGTATAGTAGCATTATAAAGTTAAAAATATAAAATATAATATCAAGAATTTTCACACAAAAATAGCATTCGGTAGCCATTTTTACCACGAAGACAAGTCTAGAGGTCAAATTATTTTTTTACCATTGTAAAGTATATTACATTAGCTTTAATTTAAGATATATATAAAAGTGTCAGACCTTCCGGAACACTTTCAAAAGTTAAGTTGAAAAAATTAATTTTTTGTAAAAAAGTTGTCATTTTAAATCCGGGGATTAATGCCCACATGGGGGGATGTGGGCAGGTAAAAAGTCAGGTTTATAAAAAAAATATACCAAATGATAGGTAATGACATCATGCATCTATAAAAAAAAGAATTATATTGATGTGTTTATTTTTAAAAAAGTTACGGCAGCTTTTAGTAAAAAAAATTGAAAAAATTGAAAAAATTAGCCATTTTTAAATTTGTAATTTTTTCGGAGGTTTCCCCCATTTACGAGGAACGAGGGATATTTTTTCAATTTTTAAGGGTAATGTCTTCGACTAGATACGATTTGTGATCTTTTGACGTATCATTGAAAGAAATCGGTTCGGTGAGAGCTGAGAAAAAGTGGTAACAGACACACAAAAAAAAAAAAAAAAAACACATCTTAGTAAAACCAATACCTTCCAGCTTCGCATTAAAGCTAAAACTAATACCTTCTCAGCTTCACATCGAAGCTAAAAAATTTAACATTAAGAAAGTGAACTATGGTCAGTCAATAATCTCGTTCGTTCGTTTTTTAAAACATCGAATACTGATATTTAGTAGCGTAGCCGGAAATTTTACTCGGAGGACTTATGATTGGTTATTGGCTTATAACATGCTCTTACTAGTGCCAAAGTTACAATTTCAATGAAAGAAAGATATGAGCCCTTTAGTACCCCTTGACTTTCCCATTGCTAATCAGTAAAAAAAAAAATTTAACATTACAGTAATACTTTTATTCTTCAAACGAACATAGTGGAAAGAAAAAACAAAAAGCGAAATGTTAACAGTTAACCAAATGTTTTACACGACACGTGCGAAAATATAATCGCTACACTAAATAGCTTATGACAAACACATGCACATACAAAACCGTTATTAGTTAGATATTACGGCTCGGTAAGTATAAGTCGCATTGCACTTTAAAGGTAGTGTACTCTTTAGGTGAATTTTTATTTGGTATTATTTCAAACAAATTGACAAATAATTATTCAATAGTCGAATTGATGGTCACGTGCTCCTTGATTTATTGTAATCATTATCATTGAATGAAATCACATATTTGTTTTTCGCTCATAATGAAAAAACTGCCACCGTGTCATTAAATAATATTGTGGAGCAGTTTACACGTACGCGCGTGAAGTTATTAAATAGTAAATGTACACAATAATAGCAATAACAATATTAATATACATGTGGGTTAAAAAAACGTCATTTTCCACGGTGTCCAAGAAGCTCGTGCAGTGATGAGGTGAACGGACCCCGTCAGATACACTTCAACGCCGTGTATTTTTATGCAGATTATTAGCCTTGATCAATACACGGCGTAATAATAATAACAATAATGACAATAATAACGTTGGATTAGACCAGTCTGGACAACAGAACCGCGACGAAGAACGCACATGGAAAAGCAAACACAATGCGAGCACGTTTTCCGTGAATAGCAATTTATATTATACAGGTATAAGTATAGTGTACAAACAATGTGTACACACTCGTATTGAGAATCATCAAATGGTATCAGTTGTTGGTTAATGGCTGATGAGAGCAAGAGGCTTTTTAATCTACAATAAAAAAAACATTATTTTTGATACATTTAATTTATTTGCAAATGCTTACAATCTCCTTGAAATGTATTGTTAGGAAATGCATTCTATGTAGACCTTTAACGCCAATCAAAAACCGATAGTTTTTTTCATAAATAATACTCTACAGAGCTAATTAGGATTTGCTGTGTGTGGTCTACTACCAAATATCGTTGTTATTATATTTACATTAAATTATGATTTAAAATATTTTCAAGCGGTTAAAATGTTAATGACGTGGAGAAATTGGCTTTAACAAGTGAGTATACACATGGCTACGTACGCGGACTTCTAAAAATAATTTTTTTAATAACTTTGATAACGAAACAATGAAACAATAACTGTTTTTATTGTACCCAAATAACACTATGTTATATTGTTTGCGTTTCTCATATTCATCACACATAACTATCAAAATATCAATATTATTGGCGATAAATAGTAAGAGAACAATGATGTCGAGCTAGTGTTCATAGTCTTAAGTGATGTTGTTACGCATAACAAAGAAAATATGACGGGAATCAAAAAATTAATAATTTTTTCAATTTTAATTTATTCCAATAAGAATAGGTACATTATTATAAATCTAATGTTCAGTAACTTGTTCTTTATTTATTTGGTCATGACGCGATCAACGAACAATTTATTTAATTATAGTCACACAAATATTTACTAATGCTTTTATGAAGTAATCTTTAATAACACGGTGAACTGTCTCGCTATTAAGCTCACTCTAAACAGTTTTCAATCCCCAAAAAACGCCAACGAAATTTGATAAAATTAATTTTTATAGTGCTGCACGAGTTAAATAACTGTCTAATTAAAGAGTCAGACTCGTATTAAACTGATCGAAAAAAATTACATACGTTAAAATTATTTGAAAATGACGGTCGACCCGTAGGAGTTATCAAGGAATCAATCAGCTCGAATATGTTGTAATAATATTTAGTTGTCCAGACAAAACCGATTAAATGTAA